ATACAAGATTGATTGATTGATTGATTTTAGGCAAGGCAACCCTTGGTTGACCTCACCTATTGCAAGGACCTTGTCAGTTTACAATCTCTTATTTTTTAATTTATTTTTAAAATTTTTTACACCTACAGCACCTGGTCTTCCTAGGTGGTCTCTCATCCAAGTACTAACCAGGTCCGACCCTGCTTAGCTTCCGAGATCAGACAGGATTGGGCTTGTTCAGGGTGGCATGGCCAAAGACCAAGATTTAAAAAATTTGCCATTGGAGTCTGATGGACAGAGATTCTGGAAGACAGGGAGATATGAGACTGAGAGCATGGGCTATTCCTAGTTCAAAGATTGGACAAGAAAATGCTTGCTTAAATTTAAAAAAAAAAAAATTGAGTTACATATGAAAACAAAGTTTTCTCTTTATAATAAAACAATAAAAAGGATTATTGGATGACTGAGGAAGATATGTCATTTCTGTCTTAAAAAGTTTCAAGTACCTAAAGGACATTGGTAGAGGCTAAACCCAATCATTCTCAGAGAACTTTCTAGGTCTGGGATGCCCTGAAGTATATTAACTTAAGCAAAATATTTTTGGAGAAAATACAAACAAAACAACTATGGTGGTGGAATGGGGTGGGACAAATGCTGAAAGGACTCTTCAGTGTTACCAAGCAGGCAATTTGTGTGGTAACATTCAGATGTTTTCAACGATTCTGATGTATTCATCAATTTAACAAATTTGAGTACACATGATATGCCAGGCACTGTCCTACGCACAGTTTTAAATAGGATTTGTTAATTCGTTTATTGAGAATTTACTATGTGCTTGGTATTATTCTAGGTCCTCAAGGTAAATTAGAGAACAGAACAGCCGATCAATCCCTGACCTCCACAGAACTTCCATTCTAGGGGAGGAGACAGTTGATAAACCTGATACCAGATCAGGTTATGGTGAGCAAATCTAGGCTCGGGTAGACTAGAAATGGAAACCAAACAGGGAAGTTGATCACTGTACAAAATATAATGGAAGAGAGTCTTTATATACCCCAAACTAGCAGAACTTGGAGTGGAAGGAGAAAGTGTTGAAGAAATTCACAATCACTAGAAGGTTGTGAGTCTAGAGTGTTGAACAGTCTTTGTTGCAAAAGTGATGTGCCAGGTTTTGATGAGATGAATTTGAGATTTTGGTGAGACACCCAAGTGTAGCTATTCCCTTAGATTATCATTTCTCAGCATTTCTCATTGGGTATCAGAATTACCTATGACACCAGTCTCCAACCTTTTTGGCAGCTGGGTCTGGTGCTCCTATGAGAATCTAACGTCTGATGATCTGATGTGGAGCTGAGGTGGTGATGCTAGTGCTGGGGAGCGGCTGCAAATATAGATGAAGCTTTGCTCCCTGGCCTGCTGCTCACCTCCTGCTGTGTGGCCTGGTTCCTACCAGGCCATGACTGGTACCAGTCCTTGGCCCTGGGGTTAGGGACCCTTAACCTAGGGATCTTGGCAGAAATACAAAGGTCCAGGACTTATTCCTTCAACCAGCCTGGGCCTCTGTGTTCTTTTATTAGCTCCCAGCTTCTGACAGAGCAAAATTTGAGAACTACCAGCTTAGATAACCAGAGATACAACCTAAAAAGAGGGATGAGCTGAAGGATGGAGATGTATATTTTGGAGTTTTAAAAAAAGTGTTCATTGAGACTTATGGTCGGGTCAATTCTCCCAGCTGATGAGCATAAAGTGGGAGGAGGAGAAACCAGAGAACATGAGTGGTTGCATGTATGTAGCTGGTGGGAAGATAAGGAAGAGCCTAAAAGACAGACACATGAATTATTCAGCATAAGGGGAAAGTGGAGAGAGCTCAGTTTCCCTTTAACTGGAATGTAGGCTCCATGGGGACAGAGACCTCATGGTTAGCTTATACCTGGCATTGTGCCCAGCACTTAATAGGCACTTAATCAATATTTGTTTATTGAATGAGTCAATGCATGCATGAATGGTAATTACAAAAGCCAAAGAGAAATTTTTAGGAGAATATAGGCAGTCATGTCAAATATAGTACCCTGAGGTCAAGAGGGCTGAAACTTACGGGATTGCTGGTAGATTTGGTCAAAAGGAAACTGTTGCTGTAAAAGAAATGGTGTAATTAAGTATGAGCAGTGAATTTAAGCTCTACTGTCATTCATAACATTTATCCTGAGCTGTTGATGAGAAGCATAAAGACAATAAGATATTTAAATACATATATACACATAAAACACATACATATGCATATGTATGCACACATTTCTGTGTATGTTTGTATGCATGTTTATATGTAAAAGTGTAGATATTTAGCTCTTGAATCTTCATTGTGCCCTGTTGCTCTGTTGTTGTCTTCTAGCTACCTCCTTCAGGTTGTAAATCTGGTGGGAAGAAGTGTCTCTCAAGAGTCTCACAGGTTGCGGAGGGCTGTCTTGGGGAGGTTGGAATATAGACAAAGGCAATGAGATGCTAGGGATGTATCTCTAGTAAGCTGCATAATCCACTTGCCATCCTCAGTTTTTCAGTGGTTGTTTGCTCCCCAAGAATAGATATAATTTCTAGAAATTGCATAAAAATATAAAATCCTACTTTAAGATATGTTAAAAGCTTCTTAATTTCAGTCACACATTTCCTTTGAAAGGATAAATCTTTTTGTCATGAAGCAGAGATGCTTATTAGCTAGCTCTCTGGGATCTGCAGGTTCATAGATGAAGCATCCAACCTTTCTCGTATTTTGAAATGTCATATCTAACTGCTTTTTAATGAAGAGCCATTTATTCTTTTCACACTGTTAGGTGTGGTCTATGGGGATAGACCTCTCAGTTCACATGAATAGAGCTGATTACTAGTAATGGAAATTTTGCACGTGCTTGTGGACGTAAATAGGCACTGAAATAATTTATGTTTATACTGTCACAGTTATTTTTATTTAGCTGCCCTAAGATTTCAAGGATGATCTCTTTTTGTCCCCAACTGCTGTTTAACATTGATTGTAGGTATTTGGTGATGGGTCTGAAGTTGTAACTTTAACAGGTGTAAGTATTTCTTTCCTCTGTTTCAGCTGAGAAGTTTTGAGAGTGAAATATTCACAACCACTAAGAGATCTCCAGTTTAATTTCCCATCATGCTTATTCTGTAGTTCACATTAAGTCCAGAGTACTGAAGGACCTGAACAAGTGAACTTTAGACATCAAATAGCTGGCCATGGTGTTGGCCATGGCGTCTCAGGATGCTCAGAACTTCTTCCAGCCTCTCTCTTCCTGGATGTCCCGGGTATATGAAGCTCTCCAGCAAGCAGGAGATGCGTTATCTGCCTCACTGGTTAACTTAAGCAGACAAGACTCTAAATTGAGTGACAAGTTAGACCAGGACTTAGATGATATGCAGATGCAGGAAACTTACTTTGAAAATGAAGAACAAAGCAATGATTGGAGTCAAGAGGACACAAATTCCTTGTTTCTTGAAGTGGATCATTTCTCCTGTTGTAATAGTGATTTACAGGACTCTGCCCAAAGTTCAAGCCCTAGACTTAGCCAACATGCAAAAGACTCGTGTTCCATAATGTCCCAGTGGCCCAATCAGACCCTTGATGACCAAAAGCTACCGCATGTGCTTTCTTCTATTGCTGAGGAAGACCATCACCTTGAAAAGCAAAGGAGTGGCCTTCAACGTGGCTTTGAGAGCCAGCTCTCTGGTATTTTAGAAAATGTTAATGGAAAAAAGCAAGGTAAGCTAGTCAGTAATCATTTTCTCTGGGTTCTTCCAAAGAACATTTCTATTCATTTTATTTTGACTTGTTTTAGTTATCATATGAATTTTATTTTTCTCTCTCATATACCTTTTCCATATGCTAGCTTCTTACTGAGAGATGTAATCCTTAAGAATATTTTCAATATATAAAACTTTGGAAAATCCGTGTTTGTGAGCTCCATATTCCAAAACAATCTGAGCAAGTGAAATGATGAAAATGAGTTTGTGGGTTCTGTTTGAGAAGCACCTTGTACATATGTCATGCTTTTGAAAATATCCTTTAAATTGTTCTCTTTTTTTTTTCACTAGGTTAGGAATCTCTAGATGTTACTATATTATTCAGTGTGAAATCCTGTGCAAAAAGCCATACTTGTTGCAAAATTTTTAGTTGATAACACTTTAAGAACACTTCTCACAATGTTTCACTGAGACGTGATGTGAGATGACAGTAGATAGGAAATCTTTGAAATAAGAATAACTTGATTTTCTTTTAGCCTTGAATGGAAAAGACATGTTTAAGACAAACTGTGTATAGACCTTTATCCTGTCAGAACTGAGCATATAATAGGCCTGCAATAAATGTATAATAAATATGAGGAAACTGTAATTCATCCTGTAAAAGCAGCTGTAGTATATTCTGGCATAAAATTTTCATACTTCTAATACTCTGAGCCTAAAAAATGGACATTCCATCTGGCTGAGAGACAGAGAGGTATATGATATGCAGAGAACGATGTTAGGTGTCTATATATGATGTGTGGTTATACTATATAGCTCACACAGGCTATTTATTAATATAGAGCAACAGAACCCACAAACTCACTTTCACCATTTCACAGGTTATGTAATATAAAGGTGAAGCAATTCATTCTCTTCTTGTTGTAGGGAACAGCTATTTCTGGAATACTTCATAGTCTCTTCATCTATTTTCATGATTCCTTTTAGCTTTATCTTTGTAAGGAAATGTTTTATGCAGATATATGAAGTCTGGGAAAATGAGGAAACAATTTTCTATTCTTTCTATAAAACTTCCTTGATACTTTTACTCAAAGTAATAGTAAGTGCTAGAATAAATTAGTGCAAACAAGGTAGGATGATATTCTTTCTGAATCTGATCTGATAAACTATAAATAAATACAATTTTAAGTGTTTTAAAATTACCTGTAGAGATAATTATAGAAATATCTGGACTACCAATAAGATTTCTTAAGTTTGACTTGAAATTTCTATTTCTATTTTAGAAAATTCTTGCTAAAGTTGAACTGTACTTAAAATTGTTTCAATTTTGGCTCAGTAGGTATTTAACACTTGCTTTTGTTAATTTTTGTAAATTAATGGCAGTAAAATAATTATGTTTATCCATTCAAGAGATTAGATTTATCCATTCACTAGATTGTAGCCTCCTGGAAGGCAGGGGTCATATCATAGATTCATTTCTATATTTTTACCATCAAGCACAATGTTAGGTATATAATAGGACATCAAATAATAATTAATGACGTAACAGCAACACGAAAGCTAACAACTGTAAGAGGCAAATATTATTATTATTCTCATTTCACAGTTGAGAAAATTGATGCTTAGAGAGATTGAGAGAGAGTATACCCAAGATTCACATTTAGAAAGAGGCAGAGCTCAGGAAAGTTGATTCTAGAGTTTCCACATATACTCTCACTCTTTTTTTCTATTTAAAGATATTAATTTACATACAGTAAAATTTATCCTTTTTAGTACCGTTCTGTGAGTTTTGGCAAACACACAGGTTCTTGTAACCACTGCCATATCAAGGTATAAAACAGTTTCATCACCTCAAAAAAATTCCCTCAAGTCCCTTTGTTGTCAATCCATTTCCTTATATCCCGCTCCTAGAAATTACTGATATATTTCCTGTTTCTATTGTTTGTCTTCTCCAGAAAGTCATATAAATGGAATTGTGCAGTTTATAGCCTTTTGAATCTGGCTTCTTTCGTAATGCACTTATAATGCATTTGAGAATCATCCATGTTGTCATGTGTTTCAGTAGTTTGCTTCTTTTTGTTGCTGAGTAGTACTCCATTGCGTGAATGCACCACAGTTTGTTGATCCATTCGTCAGCTGAGGGATAGTTGAGTTGTTTCCAGTTTTTAGCAATATGAGTAAAGCTGCTATAAACATTTACAAAACAGGTTTTTGTGTGAATATAAATTTTCATTTCAATTAGGGAGATACCTAGGAGTGAGATTGCTGGATCATATAGGAAGTATGTGCTTAACTTCATAAAAAAAATTCTACTGTTTTCCAAAGTATCATTTTGTATTCCCAAAAGTAATCTATGAGACTTCCAGTCACTCATGTCTTTACCAGCACTTTGGGATATTGTTATTATTGAAAAAAATTTTAAAGCCATTCTCATGGGTATGTAGTCATAGCTGATGTTGGGAGATAATTCTCCATTGGTCTCTTGCGTTTTTACATGTCCTGAGAGCACAGTCACATCTTTTATTTTGGATTATCTTTTCAAGGATATGTGTATGACGGAGAGCCTTGAAAGACAGAGATAGTGTCTCACTCCAGAGCAGAGGGAAGATTTATTTGCTGTCCTGTCCAATAAATTTAATGTCTCTCTTCAGGGCAAAGTTTAGGCAGATTTGCTTGCAAAGAATAGAGGTTTTCCAAACTTGGTATGCATATACCCACTGCATGCATGGAATCTGTCTGGGCCTGCATCTGCATTGCCCCTGTGGTACTTGGAGAATGAGCAACTGACATTGCTCATGTTGCTTGCTGTGCTGTAATAAATTATTCATTGTCTCTGACCCAGAAGTCTTGTGTCTTCTGCCAATGTTCATAAAACTGAAGCAAGTTAACTCATTTGTATTCAAGTATGGTAAAATCTCAGATCCTTCATAGGTTTTAACATCCCAATTTGGCTATGATTTTCATTGCCCTAATAACTAATGACATTGAGCACCTTTTCATGTAGTTATTTGTCATCTGTAGGCTCCCATGGTAAAGTCTTCAAATCTTTTGCCCATTTTTATTGAATTTTTTTTCGTTTTCTTATTTTTGAGATTTGAGTTATGTCTATATTTTGAATGTGAGTTACTTTTCAGGTATATGATTTAAACATATTTTCTCCTTGTTTTGTGGGTTGTCTTTTTATTCTCTTAACAATGTCCCTCAAAGAACAGAGATTTGTAATTAGGTGAAATCACATTTTTCTTTTATGAATTGTGCTTTTGGTATCATATCTAAGAAATCTTTGTATCACCTAGGGCCGCAAAGATTTTTTTCCTATGGTTTATTCCAAGAATTTCAAAGTTATGGGTTTATGTTTAGAGCTATGATTCATTTTGAGATAATTTTTTACATAATGCAAGATATGGATTGAGTTTTCTCCTCCCCCACCCCATATAGATTTTCAATCATTCCTACGCCATTTGTTGAAATGACTATCCTTTCTCCATTATATGCTTTGACATCATTGTGAGAAACCTGTTATCTATATACATGTGGGTCTATTTCTGGACTTTCTATATTTTCCCATTAATCTATATTTATATTCTTTCTCCAATATCACACTGTATTGATCACTATAGCTTTATAATAAAAGTGTTGAAATTAGGTAGTGTGACCCCTCTGACTTTATTACATTTTAAAAAATGTTTTGACTGTTGTAGTTTATTTGCTTTTCCATATAATTCTTAGAATAAGCTTATTTTTTTAAAAAAAAATTATTAAGAATTTGATTGGAATTGTGTTGAATTTATAGATAAGTTTGGAGATAATGATATGCTAATTATATTGTGTTTTGCAATCCATGAACATGGTATATCACTTCATTTATTTAGTTCTCAATTTTTTAAATCTGTTTTAGTTTCCAGCATACAGGTCTCTTATGTATTTTGTTAGATTTATACCTAAGTATTTTTTTGGATACTATTATAAATAATACTTTTATAACTTTTAATTTCCAATGGCTACTTTCTATTATTTAGAAATACCACTGATTTTTAAATAGTGACCTTGTATTATGCAACCTGTCTAAACTTAGTGATTAGTCCTAATAGCTTTTTTGTTGTTGCAATTTTGGGATTTTCTACATAGACAATAATGTAATCTGTGAGAGAAATGACAGTTTTATTTCTTCCTTTTCAATATCAATGTCTATTTTTTCTTTTTCTTGACTGATTACACTATATTATCATTTCGAATGAGTGATGAAAGTGAGTATCTTTGCCTTGATCCTGAGCTTAGTGGAAAAGCTTTGACTTTCACTATTACTTAGTAGTTATGTGTAGGTTTCTGTAGATGATTTTTATGATATTGAAGCAATTCCCTTCTATTCCAATTTGCTGAGAGTTTTTATCAGAAAAGGTGTTGAATTATGTCAAATGCTATTTTGCATCTATTGAGCAGATCATATGATTTTTCTTGTTTAGTCTATTGAAATGAATTACACTGATTTATTTTTGAGTGATTAACTAGTTTTGCATACCTGGCATAAAATCCACTTGGTCATAGTATACTATTCTTTTCATATATTGCTAGACTTGATTTGCTAATACTTTGTTGAGAATTTTTTTAAATTTATTTTCATTAGGGATATTAGTTTATAGTTTTCTTTTCTTGCAACATCTGTCTGGTTTTGGTACCTGGGTAATGCTGGCCTCGTAAAATGAGTTGTGAAATGTTTCTCATTTCCTATAGTCTGGAAAAATTTGTATTCAATTAGTATTATTTATTAAATATTTGCTGAAATTTTCCTTTGAAGCTAACTGAACTTGGAAATTTTTGCTTTGTGGGAAGATTTTGAAATACAAATTCAACTTTTTAAGTATGTAATGGAATATTCAAGTTATAAGTCTTTCTTGAGTGATTTTTGGAAGTTTTTGTTTTTCAAGGATTTTTTTCATGTCATTTATTTTGTTACATTTATGGCCATAGATTTTTCTGATTATCTTTTTAATGTTTGTAAGGTTTATAATGATCTTTTTT